CACAACCTGATTTTTTAAAATTCACAAATTCAGAACAGAAGAAAACTTTTCTTATCACATAAAAATTATCTACTAGAAATTTATGTCGAAATGATACCTACTGGGGAAAAACAGAAGTATTCTCACTAAAGTAAGGAAGAATTACTGAAAAATAAATTAAGAATAATAAAGTAAAGAAGGRTCTATATCACTGTTCATCAACCTACTACTGGAAAATCTGGCCAACACCACAGGAACCACAACAAAAGAAGACACAAGTTATACAACTTTGAATGGAAGAAATAATCTGCCCCATTTGCCCAATGTGTTTGCCCACCTAGAAATTCCTAAGCAACAACCATAAAACTATTGGAACTAACAAAGAATTTAGTCATGTGGCTGGATATAAAGTAAACATACTATTATAAAAATATGCTGTTAATATCAAAATTAATTTTTCTATTTTTAAAATATCTTATTTATAAATTAATAGATAAYGATTCCACTTCTAATAGCAAAATAACTACAAAGTACATAGGAAAAAAAATCTCATGGTCTTTATGTATATTCACATTTAATTTTAATTTTTAAATTAAACCAAAAAAAATTTCTGAAGAGCTTTTTTAATAAAAAAAAAACTAGAAAATTTGGAGAAAAACTCTGCTTATAATGGAAAATATTCAACATTTTAATGGTGYTGATTCCCTTAAAATCAACTTATAATTCAATGTAACTCAAATCAAAATCCCAAAGGACTTTTGACAAAACTTGAAAAACTGCTTCTAACCTTCATATGGAAAAATGAACCCACAAGAATACTTAAGACAATTTTGACTTCTCACAGGAAGAGCCAGCCTTGACTGTTTACTTGCTAAGCATTTCATCTCTATAGCAGCAGCTATTTTGATTCACCCCTAGTCAGAAAAAAGGAATGACAGGGGTGCTTCTGTTCACATTTCCTAACAAGAATGTATTAATGTATTGTTTTTATTTGAAAAGTAAATACTATTAAAAGGYAAATGAGAAACAAAGGAATGAGAAAGAAAAAGGTTTTAAAAAGTACTAAAATTTTAGTAAAAAAGATAAGAACCAGTGTCTTGCTTTGTCTGCTCTCATCCAGCCCTCCACCCCCAACACATACCAACACTGGCAAGTGTTAGGAATTCATAGGGCAATAAACTCTCAAAAGCTTATGTGATACAGGAAGTCAGTGCTCTGCTCTAGTTAGCCATGCTTAACCTAAAAAAAATTTATAGTTGCAAGTTATGCTTTATTCAGAATCTACTGTTTGGGTACTTCACACATATTTTTAATTTTTATTYTAGTTGTAWATGGACACAATACCCTTATTTTATTTATTTATTTATTTATTATGTGGTGCTGAAGATCGAACCCAGTGCCTCACAGGTGCTAGGYACTCTGCCACTGAGCCACAACCTCAACCCTTCACATATATTTTTATAAACACTTTTTCCACTTTTGCCACTATCTTCTGAAGTAGGTAACATTATCTCCATTTTTAGATGAGAAAACTGTGACTCAGAGAGTTTAATTTACTTGTCAGGTCAATCACTAAGCAGCTGAGTCAAAATTAAAACTCAAGTCTAATTATCGCCAAAACCTGTGCTTTTTCCACTCCACCCCATTGCCTCTCTTCTGAGGAAGAAAGCAATGGAAAGAATTCCTCTGGCACTTCTCAAGGAATAGGATACTGTGTCACTAGGAAGACTTTTCTAGCCAAGATCTCGGTGCCTGTGATGATTCATATTTAGATCATGTTCCTTGAGAGTAGAGAAAGATAGGAAAGATATTTGTAAGCAGCTGGTTTTAACATATGAGAGTTGTAAATAAAGTTCTCAAGAAAACCATCCAACTATGTTTTAGGGACTCTCAGAGGCCATGGGAGATGTTTATTTCTTCCCACAGCTAATTTCAACCTTGCTAAATTTCTTTTCCACTTTTCATCCTAATGACAGCTAAAATGTCCCTTATTAAATAATGCCGCAGTCTGGCTGGGCACAAAATCACAAGCCACTCACAGCTTTGTAGATTCAAACAGCAATTCTTTATTCCCGAACTCACACCGGCCCTCTACAAACACGTTCTGGGGAAATTCACGTTCTGGGCAAATTCACCTTCTCTGCAAAATCCACGTTCTGAATCCCAAATACTCTGGGAGCAGGCCTGAGGCAGCAGGATACGCCCTATTCCCAGCAGGGTACACCTTAAACCTGGAACCGCCCTAAACCCAAGGAGCAGGATACTYCCTAAAACCTGATCCRCCCTAAACCCRGATCYGCCCTGGTCCTTGAGCAAGGTCACCTTACTCAAGCATACATGCAATGTCACTGCAAATGACCTGGGTCCAAAGGCAAGCCCATTTCCACAATGGAGAGTCCTTCCTCTAAGCAACATGGGGTAGGCTGACAAGAAAATTTCGATGCGTCATTCCTAGTTGGCAATGGCTCTCAGCAAAATAGCCATAAGAAAGGGTTCTGAGAAATTCATGAGAATATGTCCTTTGATTCTGATTCCAGCACCCTGTGCACACCTTTTCCAAGTAACCAAACTATTAGAAAGCTGAATCTTCAGTACAGATGCCTGGATATCCAGCCAGTCAGGTCAAATGTCAACCCATCTTCCAGCCCACTGCAAGACAAACATGGTCTTGGGTAACTACATAACCACACACCTCTGACCATATGTGTGGAATGGGATACAATCTTTGGGACACAACCTAAGGGAACCAGATTTTTCCCTTTCTTCCCGCCTAAGAGCTGTGAAGCCAGCTTCCAGTAAAGGAATCCAATTATTCAGAGCTGCCAGTTGGGAAAATGTTGGCCTAACCCTAGGAATCTGGCTTCTCACTACAGCATTGCCATCAATAAATCATAAGTAGTTATATAACTTCTCTCAGCCTGTCTCCTCTCAATAAAATTTCACTGTTGAATTAAATATCTTTGATAATCCCTCTAGCAAAAATATCCCAGAAACAYTATTTCCTGTTTGAAATTAACCCCCAATTATTACAGTGTTATTTCTTCTACCTCTCTGTTGCAATTTATGCCTACACCAGGTGGTCTGATATAAATACTGTCACTGGGTGCTGTCCATGTAAAGCACTCATTTGAAATGACTCCACATTTTCCATAAGTTCAAAGGTCCACCACATTAAAATAGGCAATGATAGACCACGCTTCTTCTCTTTCCCCATTTCTTCATGAAAATTAATCACACAGATTTGGCTATGCCAAATACAATTTAATCGATTTTTCTCTCCCCAGAAAATATAAAATATTATAATGATGGTTTATAATCATTTGTAATTAAAACAGCACAGTAACTTAGAGCAATTTATATTTTGGGAGAAAGTTCTTTTCTGACTGACACTCAAACTAGGGGAGGGAGGGCCCACAGCTTCTGGCATCTTTTAAAAAAATTCTGACATCTTTTTTTTTTCAAGTCATCAGAACTAATATTCAAAAGAACATTTGCCAGTTTTGAATTGCAAATAAAATGGGGCCCATCAAAATATATGTTCTGCTTTCCAGATACTAAGACATCATTTTCTCCCAGCAGAGATATCCCTGTATTCTCATCCCTGGAAGTGAGTAACTATACGGTTTGTWCAGACAGGTCTGGAAAATTGGGTTTGCTTTACTTTTCACTGTAGATAGAAATATGTCCTTTGATTCTGGAGAATTTATTTGCAGATTAGATAGAACCTCGGGTGAAAATCTATGTCAATCAAGACTGTGTCAGAATAAGCATATCTGGGACACTAAAAATATCATGAAAAGATGGAAAAGGAAAAAATAGAACCAAGCAAAGTTCTTCAGGGAAAACATTTTTATTTCACTATACACATCTTTCTCTAGAATGGAATGCTTTATAGCTCAGAGACTAATCATCAGTCATATCAAATGTCAAAGATGTGATCTTTCATAAGTGGCATTCAAAATGAGCTGGTTCAAAAATCACCCTTGAAGTCAGTGACATATGGTATAATGCATAATGTATCTGAGATTGGCAGTCTATCAAATTGTATATGGCTGTCTCTCATTCCCAAAGTCAAGATTTGTTGAAATTATCATGTGACCAAATCAAATCCTACAAGTTCAACTTCCCACTTAACTCTGTTGGTCTGTATTCTGAATGTAACCCCTGTCATTCTGACAGGGTAGGGTGGGATGGGAGTAATCACTTTCAAAAAAGGTTTTGCAATGTCACCTGATTCCAAGTGTGACTTTTATGTTCAAGAGAAATCTTAAAATTGGTTGTAAAGCACTCTGATGGTCTTGTCATTCTGGATGAATGGAAAGCCCAATAGGGATGCAGCAAAGGACAGGAGCAGCTTTTGTGTTGAATTGTCTGATAATCACCATGAAACCTTTGCATATCTGAAAAGTTTGCCATTATGAAGAAAAATTGGCTTTGGATTGGCAGGTGTATGTGAATCCCTGGGTGTTGAGTATCACTATGTATGTCATCATTAGAGACTCAGCATCTGTTGAAAATACTCTTTTCTCCCTGTCCTTTTTGAGGCTGTGTCAGARGAATATAAAGTGGGTAAGCAGTTGGAAAAGATACAACTCACAGTAGGATATGGGCCACAGTACTGGCTAGGCTTGTGAACGCTGTCCCCCAAACGATGTCTCATCATGCAGACTAGAATGAAATTTCTGCTGCTGAGAAAATTCATTTTCAGGGCCAGGGTTGTTGCTCTGGGGTAGAGCACTTACCTAGCATGTAGGAGGCACTGGGTTCAATCTTCAGCACCACATAGAAATAAATAAAGTAAATAAAGGTATTGTGTTCATCTATAACTAAAAAAATTAATTAATTAAATTTATTTTCACTTTACTCATCTACTGAGAAGCTAACACATTTCTGAATTTTGAAAATCTGAGTCTCAAGTAAAGACTTCTATGCTGAGTTTTTGTTGTTTTGTTTTTGTTTTGTTTGTTTGTTTTTATTCTTGGGTGTAGACTAGCTGCCGGAAGGAATGAAATAAGAGTCAGATCCTTCTGTGGTTCATAGTATGATGATTAGGTTTTCACATCATGGTGTGACATGTGCTTCCTTCAGACCTTATTGCTTAGGTTGGCACATTACCTGTCTGACATGCAGGGAAAACAGTGAGGGTCAAAGGGAGACATCAATGGGAAAAAACTTTTGATGTTTAATGTTTTAAAAGCTATTAAAATTTGAATGACAGTTTCAGCATCTTCTTTGAAAATGTCAAAATAGAACTTTTACCTACAAGATAACACATTACATAACCTCAGTTTTAAAAATGTTAACTTTTTTTTTTTTTTTAAGTAGAGCTGTAGTTGGTCTGAATATGCAGGTGCAAAGACAGAAACTTGTTTAGGAGGGAATCCACAGAGCCAGTGTGGAAACTGACTAGGAAGAATGGTACAAGATGCAAAGAGAGCTTTCTCTGGAAGAATGTAAAGGAATGGGAGTAAGAATTCTGTGATCCCTCTGCGAAAGTAGAAACATGTGCCCTTCTCAGTCCAACCACTGCCCAAATCCTTGATAATAATTAGAAGTGCAAATCCTGAGAGCTGGTATGTTAGGATGCTGTACATTAATTGTTCTTAAACTTCAGTTAATAATCACCAGGGAGCTGGTTTAAAATGTGGCAATCCAGAACCCTCTCTTAAAAATTCCCTTTCAGTAGATCTGGGGTTGGTGCAGGAAGCTGCAATTAAACAAGTATTTCAGATATTGTAATTCAATCATGCTTACATTTTGAGAAACAGGGTGTACTTTTCAGAGCAAAGGAATCTCCAATTCACCTCCTTCCCCTGCTTAAAAAATATATTTCCAGGCTGAGCTGGAGCTCAGTGGCAGAACACTTACCTTGCATATGTGAGGCACTTGGTTCAATCCTTAGCACCACATAAAAATTAACAAATAAAACAAAGATATTCTGTCCATCTACAACTACAAAATATTTTAAAATGTATTTTCAATGGTGCTAATTGTATAGCACTTACCTAGCATGCATGAGGCCCTGGCTTCTATTCCTAGTGCTGAACACACACACACACACACACACACACACACACACCCAAAAAAAAAAAACTTTCACAAAATGCTTCATTATTGCCTCTTGAAATAGCAGTAGCCACAATACTGCCAATGCTTAACACTTTTTGGACCTACTGTGTACCAGGCATTGTTAACACTTTACTTGTAATAACATTGACCATCATTTGTAAGCATTTACTAATTGGCATGCATTGCGCTAAACACTTTGCAAACATTATCTAATTTAACTCAGTGACCCTATGTAGAAGGTATTATTCTCTATTTGGGGGATGAGGTGCTGAGGATTGAATCCAGAGTTTCTCACATGTTAAACACACACTCTACCACTCATCTATACACCAGTTTCTTCTATTTTTACAACTAAGAAATTTAAGGCCCATCAAAGTTCAGCAACTTGTGTGAGGTCACATATTAGTAAGCAAAATTCAGTCTGTGAATCCAAAAAGCCAAGCTTTTTCCAAAGCAATATTTTCAAGTAATCTAATGAGTGCGAGACGAAAATTACCATCTGACAAAATTCTGCAAGTGTGTATAACCAGTTAATGCTGTAGATGGAACTGTCRTTTCCACTTAATCCCTGTAGATAACCCTGACACACTGAAAATAGCTAATCAGCCATCAATATTCTACTCTCTTATTATCTAGTGTTCACTTGACTGACAAGAAAAGATTTTTCCAGGGCTTGTTTTAAACTCCTGGGTCAGAGAAATTTGTACAAGTTGTACATCCTGTATGACTGAGCTACAGAGCCAGTAAGCCACATATCTGAAGACCTCTGATATACACCATTTCTTTGACATTTTTGGCCCAGAATAAGAGAACATGCCTTGCCTCCCAGAATTTCCTATCTTACAGTGCAGAGGGTCAGCCTTGATGATTAGAGAAAGGTACATTTGCTGATCTCAGAGGTGGAGAAAATGAGATTTACCTCTAATCTCTCTGTTTTATGGCTGATCATTTGTCCTTTCTGAGTCTCGGTCTTCTCACTTTTAAATTATGAATAAACAAAAATACTTTGTTATCTCTAGCCACAGTGAACCTGTAGTTCCAGTCCTCAGTAGGCTGAGGCAGGAGGATCTCTTGAGCCCAGGGATTTGAGTCTAACCTTGGCAACACAGTGAGACCCTATSTCAAAAAATAGATTAATGAATGCTTCACAAGATAAAAGAGAATTAAATAAAATAGGACACGAAATTTTCTAACACACAGGAGGCATGCAGTAAATATTTGTGAACTTTGACTCTAACTTAACACAGCTAGAAAAATGGAAAGTTCTCCAGTATCACCCTGTTGATGGATGAACTTGAAAATATGCTCAACACATTGTACTTTGATGAGTAATTCATAAACATTGTCAAATTGTTCAGGGGGTGATACAGACAGATCAAAAAGAAGTAAGCATCATGAATATTTCATAACTGCCTTTGAAAAAGCTGTTTCAACAGCTTAAAGTTTTTAAAAAGTTTGGTTTGCTCATTAATGCAATGGAACTTTTCGAAATAGAACTTTTAAATGCCTCTTCTTAAATCCTTCTGTGTTGGAAACAGATCTAGCCATAGATACGGTACCTGGCTACTCCAAAGGCTTTTATATCTGGCCAGTCGTTGATGTGTTCAATAGACACTTATCCAGTGATGATGATGGATGAGCTAGGAACTAAAATTAAATATTGAAAAGTCTCCCCATAGACAAGAAGCACACATGGGAGGCAAAAACAAACCAACACAATGTGGTGAGTGCTAAAAGCATTTAGGCATGAGGCCAAGAGAAGGGAATTATTTGGGGGTAACTTCTAAGAGGGAAGGACACTTGAAATCTTAGCAAATGATCAGGAGATAGCCAGGAAAAGAAAAAGTAGGAAGTTCAGGAAAAGGAATAGCCTTACAAGGAAACCACAGCAGAAGAGACCAGGCCATACTTGAAAATTACAAATAGTGATAAATATTTGGAAATGAGAGTAGAGGGGGACACATGGGACAGGTGAACAAAAGGGAAGTTACAGGTAGACATGGCACAGCTAAGAAGGGTCTTCTGGGCCAAAAAAAAWTTTTTTCAGAGTCTGAAAATAGGAAAGTTATAAAATGTTAGATAACATCAGAGAAAAAGGTAATAGAACTAAATGGTTAGTTTATTTTGTCTCTATTTACTTTCTGGGGTTCTCTAGGATTTCAAAACAGGATTCTGGGGATTGGGATTTCAAGGTRAGAATGGACATACCCACCTGCTGAAGAAGGTTCTAGGGATGCCAGGTAGAAATGGCAAGGATCATGCACCAAAACATCTTTGGAGGCAGCCAGGAATGGCAGACAGAATTATGTTCCAGGGGAACAAAGGGGACAATGGAAGGCTAAGGAAATAGCAGAATGAAAAAATGGGCTATCTCCTTGAGATTTCTTATAGACTGATTGAGAGCCCCAAATTAGTCTAGAGAACAATGGAATCTTTACAATTTTATGACCATATTCATACACCCCTAGTATGAGTCAGAGAGGCAAAGATGAAAATGTAATTATGGAACCTGTTTTCTATATTGAAGTACCACAGGACTCTTTTCTTAGAGCCATGGATTAGTACATGAATTATCTGAATAATTTTTTATTAATTTTTATTCTAATTTGTTATATTTGACAGCAGAATGCATTACATTTCATATTACACATATAGAACACAATTTTTCGTATCTCTAATTATATACAAAGTATAGTCACACCATTTGTGTCTTCATACATAGGGTAATGATGTCCATCTTATTCCACCATCTTTTCTACTTAGATACCCCTCCCCTCCCCTCTCACCCCTTTGCCCTATCTCCTACCCCTTTGCCCTATCTCCCATACCCCCCCAAAACCCCATTATGAATCATCATTCTTATATCAGAGAAAACATTCGGCATTTGGTTTTTGGGGATTGGCTAACTTCACTTAGCATTATATTCTCTAACTCCATCCATTTTCCCGCAAATGCTATGATTTTATTCTCTCTTATTGCTGAGTAATATTCCATTGTTTATATATATACCACATTTTCTTTATCCATTCATCTACAGAAGGATATCTAGGTTGGTTCCCCAGTTTAACTATTATGAATTGTACTGCTATAAACATTGATGTGACTGTGTCCCTATACTATACTCTTTTTAAGTTCTTTGGGTATAGACCAAGGAGAGGGATAGCTGGGTCAAATGGTGGTTCCATCCCCAGTTTTTCAAGGAATCTCCATACTGCTTTCCATATTGGCTGCACCAATTTGCAGTCCCACCAGCAATGTATGAGTGTGCCTTTTTCCCCACATCCTCACCAACACTTACTGTTTTCGTATTCTTAATAGCTGCCATTCTGACTGGAGTGAGATGAAATCTTAGAGGAGTTTTGATTTGCATTTCTCTAATTGCTAGAGATGTTGAACCTTTTTTATATATTTGTTGATTAATTGTATATCTTCTTCTGAGAAGTGTCTGTTAATTTCTTGGCCCATTTATTAATTGGGTTATTTGATTTTTTGTTGTTAAGATTTTTTAGTTCTTTATATATCCTAGAGATTAGCACTCTATCTGATGTGCATGTGGTAAAAATTTGTTCACAAAATGTAGGCTCTCTATTCACATCACGGATTGTTTCTTTTGCCGAAAAGAAGTTTTTGAATTTGAATCCATCCCATTTATTGATTCTTAATTTTAATTTTGACCTATAGGACTCTTATTAAGTAAATTGGAACCTAATCCCATATGATAGAGATTGGGGCCAACTTTTTCTTCCATTAGCGCAAGGTCTATGGTTTAATTCCTAGGTCCTTGATCCACTTTGAATTGAGTTTTGTGCATAGTGAGAGATAGGGGTTTAATTTCATTTTGTTGCATATGGATTTCCAGTTTTCCCAGCACCATTTGTTGAAGAGGCTATCTTATCTTCAATGTATGTTTTTAGCACCTTTGTCTAATATAAGATAATTGTAATTTTGTGGRTTTGTCTCTGTGTCCTCTATTCTGTACCATTGGTCTATAGGTCTATTTTAGTGCCAATATCATGCTGTTTTTGTTACTATTTACTATTTCTCTGTAATATAGTTTAAGGTCTGGTATAGTGATGCCACCTGCTTCACTCTTCTTGCTTTAGCTATTCTGGGTCTTTTAGTTTTCCAGATGAATTTCCTGATTGCTTTTTCTATTCTATGAGGAATGTCATTGGAATTTTGATTGGCATTGCATTGAATCTGTATAGTGCTTTTGGTAGTATGATCATTTTGACAATATTAATTCTGCCTATCCAAGAACAAGGTATATTTTTCCATCTTTAAGGTCTTGTTTAATTTCTTTCTTTAGCATTTTGTAGTTTTCATTGTAGAGGTCTTTCACCTCTTTCGTTAAGTTGATTCCCAATTTTTTTTTTTTGAGGCTATTGTAAATGAGGTAGTTTTCCTCATTTCATTTTTCGAGGATTTGTCACTGATGTACAGAAATACCTTTGACTTATGGGTATTGATTTTATAAACTGCTACTTTGCTGAATTGATTTACCAATTCTAGAAGATTTCTGGTGGAATTCTTTGGTTCTTCTAGGTATAGAATCATATCATCGGTAAATAGTGCTATCCGTATCCCTTTAATTTCTTTCATCTGTCTAATTGCTCTAGCCAGTATTTCAAGAACTATGTTAAACAGAAGTGGTGAAAGAGGGCATCCCCGTCTTGTTCCAGTTTTTAGAGGAAATGCTTTCAATTTTTCTCCATTTAGAATGATGTTGTCCTGGGGCTTAGCATAGATAGCTTTTATGATGTTGAGATATGTTCCTGTTGTCCCTAGTTTTTCTAGTGTTTTGAACATGAAGAGGTGCTGTATGATGTCAAATGCTTTTTCTGCATCTATTGAGATGATCATATGATTCTTATCTTTAAGTCTATTGATGTGATGAATTACAATTACTGATTTCCGGATGTTGAACCAAGATTGTGGTGCACTATCATTTTGATATGTGTTTGTATTCAGTTTGCCAGAATTTTATTGAGGATTTTTGCATCTATATTCATTAGAGATATTGGTCTGAATTTTATGTGTTTTTGCCTGGTTTTTGAATCAGGGTGACRTTGGCCTCACACAATGAGTTTGGAAGTGCTCCTTCTTTTTCTATTTCACAAAATAATTTGAAGAGTATTGGTATTACTTGAATAATTTTTATACCTTATGGAGACAACCATATTTTGGCCCCAGGGAGAAGATTTGGGGGCAGATATAGTGTTGGAACTGCCAGAAATGGATTTAAAAGCTTGTTTATTTATTTCAATGTGAGAGAATAGTTAGAAAAATACAGGATGTTTCTAAGAATGTCCCATTTATTTGAGTTTAGAGAATACTGGAAGGAAAATCCAAACCAGCTCTGAAAGATGTTATTTTAATTCAAATAGTTGGTTGGCATTGTAATGTGGGCAACTCAGTTCCAAGACAATTTTAGGAACAAAAAATTAAACACTGAAGAGTCCCCATAGACAAGAAATACACATGGGAGGCACAAACAAACCAATAATGTGATGTGTATTGGCATCCCAGGACTTATGACAGAAAGAGGAGAACATCACCCAGTATCGAGCTGCTCCACAGGTGAGATGGTACTGGGGAGAACTGGTCTGGCTGCTGTCTATAGAGGTGGCCAGGTGGTCCAAGGCCCAGTGTCTAAACTCTCTGTAAACATAATCATGATCCAAACAACTGTTGGTGGTATGAGGTCCCTTCCAGTGTGTGAAGCATGGTGCCAAAGGATCTCAGCAGTGGTCCAACTTGGAAGTCAAACAGATGTCGTCAGAATCTTGAGACCGGCCCTCATAAAGCATCATTACTGCCAGCAGTTGGAGAGATGCTCTATGCTTCAACTCTGTCTTTTTTTTKKGGGGGGGGGATACTGGGGATTGAACTTAGGGGCACTCAATCTCTGAGCCACATTTTGTATTTTATTTAGAGACAAGGTCTCACTGAGTTGCTTAGTGCCTCACTGTTGCTGAGGCTGGCTTTGATCACTCGATGATCCTCCTGCCTCATCCTCCAGAGCTTCTGGGATCACAGGCAGGTGCCACCACACCTGTTTCAATTCTGTCTTATTAGCCATTTTATCCCCAGTGTCTAACACAATTCCCTCTACATGAGTTCACAATAAGTACTTAAATGAATGAATGAATGAACTAAAAGAGAGAAGTTATGGTAGACTCAAGCTCATGGGCTAGAACTTCAGTTAACAACTAGGATTCAGAGCTCTGGTTCTAGAGAAGAACTAATATTTGGTTTAGGGTAACCAGGTCCCTTTCGAGTGGGCAGAGCCAAGAGGGAAGCAAAAAGTACTGTAATGATTCAGAGTATCCCAAAGTCCCAGGGAAGGTTATGCATCAAAGATTTCTGAGTCAGTCATTATTTAGCCATAATGACAAGGACTCCTGTATATGGAAGATATTAGACATAGATTCCTAGAGCCACAACTGAAAATTGTTAATGGATGTCCTAACTCTGAGAAGACCACAATGTGACCTAAAAATATCAATAGATCTACTCACAGGAAATTAGGAAAAGACAGATGAAGATTGATAAACAAAGAGAAATAACAGAGAATTACAATTGTCACCTTTACCTAATTAGGCTGGTGTATTCAAAAGCTAAAGCATATGAGAATAAAACTTAAAACATGGTCAAATGGTTTGGAGATCTATCATCAAACAGTCCTCAATGATGAGACGACACTATTTGTCATCCTAACTTCACCACCTATGTCTGGTTAGCTAGGTGTCTGACCCTCAGTTCCCACATCCACAAAATGGCCTGATATATGGCCAGCACGGGGCTTACATTYAGTGGACTCACGAAATGGTGCCCCCTGTAAATGTGGCACCAGGACAGAGACTTCAGAGAAAGATCAGATGGTCCAGTGTCTGGAGGGAATGTGTCACTCAGGCTTGTCCATTCCCTTCCCCACCAGCACACATTCACCTTCTCAAACACTCACACACCAGGAGATTCTGCTAACCATCAAAAGGGCCCTCAAGCCACATGCCTCTGAGCAGGTGTGCTGTATATGAATCAYTAGCAGTTGTACACCCATGTGTGTAGTCCAACTCCAAAATTAGGCCCAAGATATTAAGGACCATACACTGTTATTTCCCAACTTTTGTTGAGAACYTCTCAAAAATACCCATTTTTTTTTCTCTAACTGCATTCAGGTTTTTAATGCTGGCTGCACATTAGAATCACCTGGACCCCTTCAAAAATAAGGTTTACCTCTAGACCAATTAAATTAGAAACTCCTAGGAGCACAGCTCAAGCTTGGGTGTTTTTCCAAAGGTTCTCAGGTGATTCTGAGGTGCCACTCAAGTGTAGTGACCGGTGGAACTGCAGCGCTGGCATTATTTAGGAGCATATTTGACGTGGACTCACAGGACCCACCTCTGACGATCAGAATCAGATCTGAACCAGAATCTGCATTTAAATGAAACCTCAGGATGATTCACAATCACATCAGTTTGAGAAGCAATGGTTAGTGGGTATCCGTGACTCTCAACGCAGCTACACAATGTAATCATCTAGAGAACTTTGGGGGTTTGGGGCAGGGAGTATTTTTTTTAAATCCTCTGAACATTTTTTTTTAAATGTTGATGGACCTTTATTTTATTCATTTATTGATATGTGGTGCTGAGAATCGAACCCAGTGCCTCACACATTCTAGGCAAGCACTCTACCACTGAGCCACCACCCCAGCCCAGGGAGTATTTTTTTAATGAAGCTTATGTGTGGGTTCTGCCCCCTTAGATTTGCATTTAGTTGGTCTGAAGTGAACCCAGCGTCAGGATCTTGAAAACTCAGCCCTAGATTTGTTGACTTTCTTTGAATCCAACCAGGCCTGAGAACCACAATGTGACACAGGCAGTTCCCCAGGATAGGTCCAGTTCACAGCAAGGAATGCCTTCAAGAGGGGTGCTAGGAAAGATGAGGCCTAACCACATTCCTCTGTCCCCAATGTCACCTCCGAACTGACCCAAGTAACATCTAATTCTAGCAACATGTTTAAGAAATGCCCATTTCATGTCTCTTTCCTAAACATAGGTAATGTGTATTTTCCATTTTCCTCCTTTTTTAATGGTAGTTATCGACTAGCTCCCTTTGTATCTAAACAATAAACCCGAATATGCTGCTGTTAGGGAAATGACTTTGTTTTACTCAGTGGTAAAATAGGGTAATGAATTCTAAATATTTAAAAACGCTAAGGCAAACATGGAGATAACTACAGGGTAGAATACACGTTTCTTGTGAATTCTAAGGAAAAAACAGAATACTTCAAAGATATTTTGCTTTTAGTGGGCACTTCAGGTTCCGGTCCAGATCTCAGAGTGGAATAAACTTACTCTCCTTCTGTCCTTGGACTAGTTAAGGGAAAAGTTTGAGGAGCTCTGAACCAATGGGATTATTTGAAATGTGACACTCTAACTTGACTTGGTTTCAAATCCTCAGCAGTTGGAGCATCTTGGCTTATCTCAAATGCTAGAAATACTGTAGCATTTGTCACTTCAATCCCAGCCAAGGGTCAAATGCTGTATCACACCTAGTAACTAAAATAAATTCTAAAAGCTGTTTTTGTGGTTGACTTAACTTTATTCACATGATCGCTGGAGAGATTGACAAAGACTTCCTCTAACATTTCTTCTAGAGGGTTGAATTAGAGTTTGGTTGCAGACAGTGTGGGTTGGAGGGATGTGCAGTGAGACAGATCAGGGGCTTGTTATAATTCTACATCATCATGAATCCCGTTTAATTTTAACCTTGAGGCTTGTCTGACACATTTGCAGTAAGAGTTGGGGAATAAACCACACACTCACTGGCAAGCACTTGGCAGCCTGCGAGAGTAGCATCTTAGAGAAAACAATCAATCCTAGTGCTGGGGCATGTCAGGCATTGTGAGTGCAGATCAGAGGTGCCATGGGGTGTCCAGAATGGCCTCCCATGACAGTGACAGCAGTGGGACCTCAGGGTATGCAGCAGGCAGCTCCAGAGCATCTCAGTCAGTCCCAGGAATGAGGCATGGCCTCTCAGTATTGATAGGACCTCACAAGGAGCCACATGAGGAGGACTGTAATCAGGACAATGGTGAAGTTGAGAAACAGCTCCCGGGTGGATAGCTCCATCCTCAGAGTGGCTGGATGAGACCTTCAGGTAGACTTCTGGGGGCACAGCAAGACCTCCGGCTTGTCCTCACCTCCTAACAGAAAGTGACAAAGAAAACATGGGGAGATGAACAAGTGCTCCTGGAAGATGATGCTTATTCTTTCCCAAAGGAAATAGAAGTATTGTGGGAAAGGAGGTGGTTTGGGGCTGAACTGTGTCTTCCTCTAATTTCCTATGTTGAGATCCTAACCCCCAGGACCCAAGAATGTGATTGTATTTGGGTCTTTTGAAAGGTAATTGAGTTAAAATAAGGTCATTAATGTAATCCCTAATCCAATATGACTGGTGTCCTTATATGAAGAGGGGATTAGGACAGACTTATACAGAGGGGAGACCATGTTAAAACACAGAAAGATGAACATCACCAAGCCAAAAAGAGTAGTATCCGAAGAAACCAACCCTGCCGACTGTCTGATTTCTAACATGTAGCCTCAGATTCTTTGACCAGAACCATCACTCTTCCCTAGGTCTCCAGCCTGCAAGCCTATCCTGAAGATTTTGGACTTATCAGCTTGCACAACCACATGAGCCAATTCCTTAAACACAAACACACACACACACACACACACACACACACACACACACACACACAGAGTTGTTTCTCTGAAGAACTCTAATACAGAGAGCCTGGTTTCTCTGCCCATTGTGATAAACACCAACACTTTTGTTCTGATTTTCTTCTTGGATGATTGTATTGGTGCTTTCAATAAGATATAAAATATTACATTTTTCTCTCTTCAATTTCTGCGGGTGTATGCATGTATTCACTTTACTAACTGAATATCACTAAGTAGGAGCATCAAAACAGAAAAAAAAGTTATAATTTAGTATTGTTCTTGTTTTGGGTAACATTTAGAAGTGGGATACCATAATCCTTCAGGTTTCAGGCTGCTATAGGTCTTTATCTAAMCCTGATGAAAGCACAAAGTAGTTCCAACAGCTGCATGGTTTTTGTATAAGCCTACACTGGGCACAAAGCCTACCGGGGTCAAACAAAAGTCCCTCACATAACAGGTACTCAGTCCAAAAAGCACGTGTTAACTTAATGGGTATTCCTATTTCAACAAATGCTTGTGCCAGCTATTTTTAGTTAGGCCTAGGATGTGCCTAAATTGTAAACATTTCAAAGAGCAGGGATGGTATCTTGAGAGTGTGTACAGATTGTACCTGCAGGAAATCAAACTTGAAGAACATCTACAATGCAGTCAATCAAATTATTAGCTTCAGTGATGTATTATAATTGGCTTTTGTTTTGCAATATAAATAAAATATAAGATTTCTTTTTTTGAWTTTTTTTAGTTGTAGATGGACACACAGTATCTTTTATTTTATTTTTATGTGGTGCTGAGTATCAAACCCAGTGCCTCACACATGCAAGGCAAGCACTTTACCACTGAGCTACAGCCCCAGCCCAATAAAATAGAAGATTTATTTATTACATAATTTTATGTAGATACATATATTTTAGATATCTTGGACTAAATTCTACTACAGAATGAAAAAGTTTAGGCAGAAAGGACATTCTATTTGCTAAGGATGGGAGTGCAAGGGACAGAGAGGTTTGTTAGCAAGGTTTTGACCTGAATGGTATTTTTAACCATCTAAACTGACTCAATTATTAATAATATTTATTATATCATCAACAGACCAAATAATTAGCTGTGTAAATTTCAGCTGAATAATCAAATTTTAAATTATGTTAATATGACATATAGGTTCAAACCAGATTATTTCAACCAGTAGATTGTTGAGTTGGGGTTTAATGGTGAATCTATGTTTAATTTCCKATTTAATTTTTATCCATCTTTTGACCTTCAGCATGAAGGAAATAGTAATTTGCCAATGAAAAACTTTACAAAGATTTGCTTGGAAAGGAAAGTAAACAGAAGATTAATGGGTAAAGAAATAACAGAGAATATGTAAGAATGCACATAAGAGCAGAGGAGAGCAGGAAGGGAATGAATCCAGCCAAGGAGGCTGGAGGCAAAGGAATGAGAATCAAAGATAGACTCTTCCTTATGAACTTACTAATTGAAATCAAACCCTGATCCAAATGCCTACTTTGGGATTAAAAGTGCAGAGATACAGCCAGGTATAATGGTGTGTGCCTATAATCCAAGCAACTCAGGAGGCTGAGGCAGCAGGCTGACAAGTCCAAGGAGGATCACAAGTTCAAGGCCAGCCTCAGCAACTTAGGGAAACCCTCAGCAACTTGGGCAAAACCTTGCCTCAAAATAAATAAATAAATAAATAACTAGGACTGGGATATGACTCAGTGGTAAAGCACCCCTGGGTTCATCCCCTGTACCCCCTCCCCCAAAAGAGAGAGAGAGAGAGAGAGAGAGAGAGAGAGAGAGAGAGAGAGAGAAGAAAGGTGGGCAGGGGGAAGAAGCAGAAATTATGAAACCCTATTTATAATGATCAAAACAATCCAATCTAGGGAAAGCAAAATAACTTTCCCATCAAATCTGCTTATTAGATTAAGCTATTATATAAGGGAATTATGGATAGTGATCCAACAGGAATATACTTGGATAATGAGAAAGATGCTATTAAAAGCAGTTCCAACAGCTCTGTTCATGTTACCTGTATACTAGGACAAGTATTATTGTGATTTTTGTCTTTGCCAAAATTACAGCTGAGAAATTGACTTTTAGAGAGAAGTTGCTGTGTAATGACTCTCAGAAAGTAGGAAGTAGAGCTAAAAGTGGGAGACTAGAATYAGTTATCAGAATTGTGATCACTCCACCAACGTATTACAAGAACAAATTATTATTGCAATTAACTGCCATGGCTAAACAAAGTTAGTATGAATTTTTGACCACTATGGAAAATAATTTGACATTTTAAAAATTAAAGTGGAAAATGCTTTCTTCCTAATATCTAACAATTTCCCTTCTACCCCCAGATGCTCAAGCACACACGTGCTGAGGTACAAACACAAGAATGTTCACTACATTGTTCACAAGAACCCAAACAGGATACATCTCCCATGTTCATCAGCAGTACAGTGGTGCATATATTTGAATGCTACAGAGTAAAGAAAGTACAGGAACTACTACAGTTGCACACAACAGGATAAATGGATCTCACAAGCATAATTGTTGAACAAAAAAATAATTTACAAAGGGAACATAGAATATGACTCCATTTAGACAAAATCAGAAATAGAGAATTTAAAATATTGTATAGGAATACAGACATGGTAAAACTTTAAAGAAAAGCAGGGACAAGACAATCTTAACATTTTAGGAGCAGAAGAGGGGTGATCAGGWTTGGACTCCTTGGGTGCTGGCAAAAACGTGTTTCTTGATGAAACTTATAATTATTGTTTAAACTGCATATGTTTATGGACTCCACAAGTTTTTTTTTTTCAATTTTCTCTGAATTGACAGGTTACCAGATTACCCATCACACTTCTGTGTCTACTGTGGTTCACCTCTTACAATTTATTGCACTTCAATGGCATCTTTAAATATTTATTGTTTTGTGTATTTTTAAATGAACAAAACATAAAGAATTAAAGTGAGAATTTTCAAGGAACCCAATCCAATCAATGTCTGTGCTGAATGTAAGGTGTAGACTTTATTTTCACCCTTTAAGAAGCACAGACCAAAGTTAGAAATTCAGATCAGCAGTGTTCTATTTTTCTGCTGTTAATACACCAAACAGCTTTGACTTCATTCTAAACCTTCCCTAGCATCAAGTTCATGTCTTGTGATCTGAAGTGATTGTCATATAGATGAACCAAACACCAAAAGGCTATGAATAGATGGTACAAAAAGCTTGACATTGGCTTTCTTTCATTAGAAACTTTGAGAAGATGGAAGATAAACTTTCTTCCATGATATGGAAAAAGAAAATGCACACCAAAGAAAAGCAAAAATCAATAATATTCACTTTAAAATACCACGTACAAGGAGCATCATCTATTTTTGAGATATAGAAGCTCTCCTCTGTCTCCCTCATTAGTAATTTGTGCACACAAACACACATCATCTGCTGAGCAGGAAATCCTGTTCAGGGTTACCTGAAGAGGGTCTAGGACACGCCCTGGCTGAGTAGACTTCTCCTTGCTCTCTCCCACTCGGGCCCCAACTCCTGTTYCTCTCCCAGGCTGTCTGGACTCCCCGACTCTGGGCAGGGCCTAAAGTAGTCTGAGGGAGGTGGCACTCACTCTGACGTCAGTGATGAAACATCTCAAAGGAACACCCTCCCGAAGGTCTGAGGCTATTTGTGTTCAGGGGGACATGGAAATGTGTTGACTAAGACCTTATYCCTTTGGTTACCAACTTGTATTAACCCCACAGTGACCTTTTAGTGTAATTTATGTGGATTTTAAATTTATCTTTTACATCTTTATGAATATCTCTAGCATGTCTTTAAAACATCATAAATCAAAAGCAATAGGCTAATTTTAACCAATCCATGCTGCATTTGGCTCTTCTCCCCACTCAGCACGTGAAGGTGTGGAAATGTGACTTCATTTCACCACCCACATCTTTATCTATCTGACATGTGAAGAGGTCTCTCTGTCTTGCACCCACACCGCCAGTCTCCCCCCCACACAAGAATTCCATAGGCACCCCTTGAAAACTGACTTCAGTTCCGGCAGTGAAAGTTCTCCCCCGTCACCTGCTACACATAACTTCCCAGCTAAGCCGGRCGCTCCAAGTTTACACATTCATCTACAGTTTCATCGGAAACAGCTGAGAAAGCCCTGGTTTGAATATCTCTGTCAGTACACTAACATAGGAGTGAAATCAGACAGCAAGACTCAGTCATTGGAGTAGATCGGGGGGTCGAAGAGAAGCTGGTCAAGATAGTAAAGACATGAGATATAAACTATAATAGGGATACATAGAATATATCTGAAAGAAATAAAATATGTAATTTTCAAATATAACCCCTAACTGACTAAAATGAGTTTGCAATCAACCAATCAGATGTTTGAAAGTAAATGGAATCTCTGAAACATTTAACTGGACTTGAAATGAGATTAATTTAACCCTTTTACCATGACTCCAGATATGGAGTTTCTCTATAGATAAAAGAACAAATCTCCCCTCTGAATTCCCAACTAGGGTCAATCAAAATAATGCAGTCTCAGAAGGCATTAAAAAAATTATCTGTAAATTGTGTTCAGCCAAACCTTTCCCACAAGTCCTTATACCCCAGGCTTATTGCTAAAAGAAGGACTTTCCATTTCATTTTTTTTTTTTCATTTCTTGGGTAATCTTAATACAGCATTCTGTCACCACTTGTCTGGTAAAAAGATAGCTCTCTGAAGTGACAGATAGTGTACAACAATTATAGTGCAACTGAACATTGGCAGTCATTTGTTGCCATCTGGCAAACTCCTTGAATGTAGTCAGATTTCTGCCGTTTGCTTCCAAGCTCTTGCCAGATTGTTTCAAATACTGGGAATGTTTTCCTGGTCACCAAGATACCTCTCTCCTTTTTTTTTTTAAACACTCGAAACTATTTTTTTTGTCCAATTAAAAAGTAACATTTATTGTAGACTATTCAAAAATATGTAAAAATATGAAAATATCCAATTCCACTTATCTCACCACYTCAAAGAGGAAAAACTTTATATTATTTTTTATTTATATGTTTTGAGCTGTATAGACAAAATTCTCAAATTCCCAGGGTATTTTTAGTAAAAGAATCTGACACTTGAATAACTTTTTTTTTTCCTTTTTGACTCATTTAGAATCAAATTATTCACGTTATACCATGTGTTGGTATTGGGTTCACAGGACAGGTATCTATTTTGTACATGTTGGAATATTGATTAGATCTACAATGTTGAAAATATTAAAAAGACAATGGGAGATGTTAATTCATCACTGGAACTGCTAGCCAATACTGTCGATTTAGTTGAAATTGTTAATTTCTATGTAATTTGGAGGAAACATCCAAGTGTTTGTTTATTGTTTTTGTTTGTTTTTTCACTGAATCAATGAGTCAGCTATTTTGTCTGTTTATCTYGTTCAAGAGTATCTTAGATTGTACAGGGACTGCTGTGCCCAGCACACTGACAAAGTGCCAGCCTTCAGAAACTTCTGACTTTCAGTGGTTTCTCTGGTGGAATTACACTCAGAATTCAGCTTGTCACTCGTTTGACTTAGACTTGGGAAAATTATGCAGGCCACCTAAAATCACCTGACAACTATTCAAAGGCCTCAGGGAGAGTTTAGCTCTCAGGATCTGCAAGTCCATTAAAAAAAAAAAAAATCAACATTTTTGTGTTCATGTAAAAGGCTGAGAATGACCAGGCTTCAAACCTCAGTGCCAAAGCAAATCCATCCCTTTCCATTAACCTTACTTCATTCTGCTGATACTTTCCTTCCTGTGAGCAATTACCGTGACTTAGCCAAGCTCGTTCCATATCAACTTTCTTTCAAGGTGCCGTTCTGCCTGTCAGCAGGAGGACATATTAAATAATCTTTGACATTATTTCTGTGCCTATTCATCTACAACTTAGCCAAGGGCCACAAATGTCAGGGAAACAGAGTACACATTGGCAGTGGCACCAATGCCCTGATTGACATTTATCTTTCCCACCACCATCACCATATGCATTTTCAGGTATAAAATATTAAACCCCCTGAGATGCAGTGATAAGCTCTTGTGCTTGAGTAGTTGTTGAATTTGCTTGTTTAATTCACTCCCCATTCCCATCCTCTTTTGTACTTTAAGAACTAAAAAGTAAGTACCTATGTCAGTCTCTGAATTCTGTGGTCCATGACACGATAGGACAGTTCACCAGGCCATGATGTAAGGTGCTAAGCTTTCTGAACATCACAGACCTGAGTGTGATCATCATGGAGCCCTCTCACCTCATGTCTTCACATCCAGCTGCTCAAAAAGGAATGAAGTGGGTTTCTGCTCTTCTCTTTCACTGTCCCAAACACATGAGGACAAGTCCAGAGAAAAAAGAGGCTTGATCTCTTGAAGTTGTCTCCATGTCACTATCTACAATCATTGTGTAAGKCTGCCCTTCTGAGTACAGGGAAAATCCAAGTAAAGGTCACGAAGGCGCTTGGGTGACCAGCCACAGAGTCTACACAGAACTGCCAACTCAAGCCTTTTACCCAAATGGGGAAAACTGCGCCCGCTCAGTCCCGTGTAGTAAAGTGGAAAGCACAGGGACCTTGGAATAACAAAAACCTATGTCCATATTCCGAATGTTCCACTTACTAAATGACATTAAGAAAATTATCCTTTCTGGGTCTATTTCCCCATCTATAAGATGAAAATACTAACAATGCTTTTAAAAACATTTGCATGCAATCAGAATCCAACTGATAATGTGTGTAAAAGCTCTTGTTCCCTTCTACTACTAAGATTTAGTGCAACTCCAGAGGCTGAGGCAGGGGAAGTTCAAGTTCAAGCCTCACACCTTCAGCAATTTAGCAAAATCCTGTCTCTAAAAAATAAAAAGTAAAACTCAGTGATAGAGCACCCCTGGGTTCAATCTCCAGTGCCAAAAAATTTTAAAAAGAAAGAACAAAAAAAAGTACAGAATCTGCCTAGCCTATAAGTTAAATCACACTGGGCTTCTTTTCTTTCATTTGTAACAGTTTAAAATACACATAAATAAACAAATGACAAGGAACGCCTTTCTCTAACATACGTGCAAAACTTCTCTTTTCATTTAGGATCAAAAGAGAAGAGGTAGAGGGTCACTTATTGTAAAAATCCGATGAAGGGAGCATAAGCATAAGTGTGGTTATATACAGAGTTGAAGCAGGCATGGCTTTCCTGACTTTTCCTCTTTCCATCCATGTGCCCCTCATTTACTGCCCACTATTCCTGAAGAGCAGGAAAGGTTTACTGCAAAAGGCCAAAGTCACTACCTCCAYCTTTGCTCCTGTGATTGTTCAACTGGTATCAAGTGAGCTCTACTACATACAAAACAGTGTTCTAGACACACAGGAAGTCATAATGACACAGAATAGGACCATTGCCCCCAAAAGGAGAAAGCTAATAAAAGTTCATACCACTCATAATAGCCAAGTTATGGCATCAACCTTAGTGTCACAGATGAACAGACAAAGGACATATGGTGTATATGCACAAAGGAATACTATTAAGCCTTTAAAAAGGAGGAAATCCTATCATTTGTGACAACATGGCTGGAACTGGAGAACATTATGCCAAGTGAAATCAGCCAGTCACAGATAGACAAGTTCAACGTGTTCTCACTTCCATGTGGAATCCAAAACAACTGAACTCATAGAAGCAGAGGGTACATGGTGGTTACAGAGGTGACCAGGGGGCAGTGGGGATGGGGGCAAAGGGAGGAGTGAGGAGATGACGGTCAAAGGGTACAGGATGAGTGAATGTCGTTGTTGTTTGATCTCTTGCACAGTGTGGAAAGTATAGTAAATAACAGTGTGTATACCTTTCAAAACTGATAAGAATAAATTTCAAATGTTCTCAACACACACAMAAAAAATTAGTATTTGAGTGACAGATATGTTAGCTTGGTTAATTAGCTTGCACTCTATTCAGGCTATATGAGCAATGACCAAACCGACTCCATCTTACCCTGAGACTCCATGTCATGTAAGAAAGGCTTCTCCCAGAGAAAGCCCTGTCTCTGTACCCATGAATACTTGCTTAGTATAGCCTGTTTGGCAACACAAAATGGCAATTCTTATACAATGTAAAGTGTTCTCTCTTTGGTTCCTATTTTTCTYGGACAATGTGCCCTTTCAGAGATTGATTGTCTAGATGTTGGTAACCATTCTTTTACTTGTACTCAACTAGGGACATTTTGGCCCACTCCTTTTTCTGCTTATGATTTTAGATCTCATGATGTTTGTTTATGGTTTTGAATCATAGCAATAGCCACTTATGATTAATGTGGTTTTGGACTATAATGGGTGTACTCAAACCCCAGGAGGGCGTTGATGGGTATAGACTTGCAGCCTTCCCCTTGGCCCRCCAGCTGGTGGATCCGGACCGCTAATTGGTGAATAAAGTTTCCGTCTCCTGCTTTAAGATCAGCTGGGTGATTTTTGCAATTGCTCCATAACAACATCACTCTGTAACTCATARATATATATAGTTGTAAGTTGTCCATACAGTAAGATTTTTTAAAAATTAAGTGCACAATAGGACAC